ACTGCCTACTCCAATAACCGTACTACATCACAATATTGCTTTCAAGACAAGAACACTAGCCACCCAGATTAGGAATCTCTGAGGCTTCCCTCGTCATAATGGCATACTCTAGTAGGCATAAATAGGCAAATGTAACCACTAAAACAATATCCTGGATTGCTAAAGACCCTAAGTCGCCTAACAAGTCTAAAGACTTTCAATCGTTCAGTAAGCGTGCAGAGCAGACGAGCCTTAAAGTCGTTTATAAAATGTACCTGTGTCGCCTTGCGAAGATTACCACACTCGAAGCGACTCTCGAAAAGAAGGTGATCGACATCCGGATCAACATGGCCAACTCTAGAAACACAGTAATGTAGCGGCTCGGAAACTATAAACAAAGGTAAACAAATAAAGTAAATCTACCATAGTACACAGTGGTTGAAGGTTAATGCCTCTTCATCGTTCTCCTTTAGGCGTGACAAAGGAGCTCACCTTGTCCGGTCATTGCAGGAAAGAGGTTGTGACGGTGCTTTGCTTGTCTTTTCATCAGCGGCCAATGAGTCCAAATCGTATACCACTTTGGGAGGGAACTGAACGCTAGCTCGAGCTCTTGCTATCTCGTGGATAACCACATCCCTGAAAATGTGTGAACAATTTCTCAATCTCGCATTCACAGTGTCCATCAAATCAGCGAGCCGAGAGCCTTAGTCTAGAATTAAATTCTCTAACGCCCAGAAAGCCTTCGGCGAAGGTATTTGCACACGACTCTATTGGCTATCATTTCCACTTTCACTCTATTTCTTGTTTCAATTTTTATTCCTAAGTGAATCTCGTGAACTTTACACTATCAATCGAGTCTGTTCTTAGACCGAGTACACGATGTTTGGGAGAGCGAAGTCCGTATTTCTTACGAAGCAATCATTCATTCCACATGAACAGAAGAGAACCCTGTGTCTGACTTGGAGACGAGAAAGATCTGAATGACGGGGAAAACAAACTTGAAAATTGAGCTCCACATCTATTTCAGTTCAAATATTAACCACAGTTGGTCCAATCTGCGTAGCTCACTGCTGAGGCTCACACTGTAAAGGTCCAGACGATAGACGAACTCTTGGCTCGAAGTGAAAGTTACTATTTCTTATCGTGTTTCTCCCCTCTCCTGGGTTTAGACCTACTGCCACTTGCCATCCGCCCTGCTTTGATGTCCCCTCCCCGATGAGCACTAAAATATTTATTTTTACAGGCAGGCGTAGCCAGGTGTCGTATGGAATCGCACAAAATGATGATGGCGCTCATATCCTCATAAGGGGTAGAGGGACATTCGAAACAGGGCCGATGGTAAGTGACACTAGGACCAGACCAAGGAGAGCGGAGAAACGCCAAGGGGAACAAAGGTTGCACACATTCTTACCCAGAATCCCTTCCACTTCCTGAAGCTCAGTCGCAAATGCTGTGAGTGGATATTCCTCCCCCTCCCCTCACCAACGACATGGGCGCCATGATCGACAAAAATTCTCCACTGTGGGCCATGAGAAGGATACGTATGATCGGCTAGCCACCTGAGCAGCTTCTGTCTGATCTTCGCTGACTTCTACACCGCCGTTCACTAATTTATGAAAGTAGAAGTGTTAGTTCCCGCCCGTCTCATCAACATTAAAAAACCTTTCCAGATCTTGGTAAAAAAATCTTGAGAAAGCATCCACGTAGTGTCATTCGTTCATAGTGCGATCTGTGAATGCGAATTAGGCGATTGGGCGAATTATTCAAAAAGATTAAGTGCACAAAATATCGATCGGTGAGTAAGCGAGTAGGGCTAGCCAAGGAAGTGGAAGGAATACGTATTGATTTGTTGGCTTCCCCCCCATTGTGAGCATTACACTAATCGTCCTAATACGCTCCTCACTTCGCCTATCCACTAACAAAGAACCGCTTTGAAAAAGTTCTGGTTCTGGGGCGTGGCACGTGCCCAACCATATCTAAAGTATGCTTGTTAATCTCCCCCGCCCGATCGCCACTACTCGTCGAAGCGCCTGCTCGGCTCATATTCGCTAATCTCTTCGCAAATATTTTCATTATAGACTCAGCCGCCCTAATCGCTCTCGTACGCTTACAATCGCCAACTCTGCACGCGCTCGTCTTCGCACTCATCGTGGCATGAAATTTTACACATCATCTCCTAGCCCCCGTTGAATTTGCCAAGTCCTTACACACGAATCACACACTCGATCGCTTGCTCTGTTTGTTTCCACACATGCCTGTCGCCCTACTGTCGGTGTCTGATTTTGGCAGCTGCAGGGAAAGCGATTTGACCGAAGGAATCACGGAAGTGTTAGAGCTGAACGAACTTCAATACTTATTCAGGGACGGGATGAAACGAAGATGTCCATGCTCGATACTGTGCATTCTGTTGTATGAGTCAGTATTATAGGGACTGAGCTTCGGGACGCTTCGGGTCAGCACCATTCATGAACTCAGTGAAGTATGAGCCGTACGATTCCAACTCAGACATCTTGACTCGCGAATGAGTAACTTCCTAAAATGGGAGTTCAAGCAAAACCTAATGTTTTGGTAAAGTATGTACTTTTATACGAAAAATTCCCTTAGGGCGGACATCAATAATAGGGTGTATACAAACTGACCGGCAGTGTCCCACTCTATAATTAAGCCCTGCTGAGATGGGCAGACCTAAAGGGACGAACAAGGCTTGTTCAATCCTCCCAAGAGATTATCCTAGATGTCGTGGTGAAATCATAGCCGACATCCCTCATTCCCATTCCTAGGACTAGGCCTAGGAGGATGCAGGAGCTCCAAGGGAAAATGAACACGGCTCACACACCTTAGAGTCTCTTCTCCCCCGCTTAAGGCCTTAGTCCCTCTCTTCTCCCCCGCTTAAGGCTTAGTCCCATTCAAAAAAAACGTGCTTTACGTGGTTTCAAATGCACTGCCATCACAATGCCCCCGTATATTGCGATAGCGCCCCTTAAGGGTTCTCTAAGTGGCTCGCTCACTTCAATGTTCGCCCTAACGACATGAGCGCCGAAAGATTTTCCTGGCAAACTAATACTTACGGTTTCCTTCCCATGATCGGGAAGCATTACGGTCCCTGTGAGTCAATAGCACTACGAGTAAAACCAGTCTCCACCACCCCCCACATACGTTGTGAATACAAAAATAAGGTGAGTTTCACTGAACAGCGTTTTTACCTTATCGAGGTAAACACTGCGAAATGTTTTCTCTGATATGGCCGTCGACGGCCGACTTCCACCAGAACATTGGTCATTGCGCTGTCGAGATTTCCGGTTGCTGCCATATATAGTGGTTGCCCCCTTTTTCAACGAGCTATTGATTACATTCTAACCAAGCACGGTGCAAAAGCCATCCTACACGAAGCAGCGTGCAGTAATGAAACCCACCGTTACCAGCACTAGCTAGCTGGGCGCTCATAACCTAAGGGAGGGGGGGGGGACATTCAAAACAAGGTATTTGAAAACAGGTGGTAGGTGACAGGTTTACGGACTACTTGAACTTTCTTCCATGGTCCTGCCACGAATGGCGGAGAGCACAGACGATTAGAGAACGGCGCCTGGCTCGGCTCCAAATCCCAAGGAGGAGGTGAGAGCCTAGGACTAAGCCTTGTAGGGGGAGGGACTCCGAGGTGGGTGAGCCAACTACAGTGTGGCAAAAGTTTGAATGTGTGAGATCACAGTGGTCATGAGCCGCTGATAAGGAGAGAGCGCAGACGAAAGCGTCGAGTGAGGCAGCTTAAAGGACCGAGTTCAAGTAGTCCGTCGACCGTAGGTGACAATAGGACTAAGCCCAGGAGAGGGAAGAAGCGCCAGGGAGAACAAGGGTTGCTCACATCCTCCCCCAGAGTCCCTTCACCCCTCCTTGAGGCCATTCCCCAAGTTCTGATTGGTTGGGTGTGGTTCGCTTACCGAGAAGCAACTTTTTCGATTTTTCGGAAACGCGAAACATTTTTCGCTGACATCACAAGTTCACTTTCTAGACACATTTTGACCTAGGGTTTTTCGCAGCGAAAAATGTTTTCGCGCTCTACGAACCACACCATGAGTGCTCACTCACTTCAATGTCCTAGGGGTCGACAAACTCCTGAACTCGTCCTTTAATCTCCTAAATTCACAGCTCTCGTCTGGTGTCCCCTTATCAGAGCTCACAAATTCAATTTATGCCTGTATTGCACCACCACCTCGAGTCCTCCCCATGCAAGCTTTCTCTCCACGAACTCTCTCCTTCTTGAGGTATGATCCAATTCAATAGCCGTCCTAGTCCTTGTTTTTACGCCATCGTGCAGACCACGGAAGCTGTTCAAGTCATCTGTAACCTAACGACACGAGCGCCGTTAGCTCTGCCATTTGTCGCTAAATGACTCTAGTGCAATGACATCGAGATACTCCAATCTGCAGTCACAAAATGCAAATTTAATGTTTTCAGATGGCTTGGCTTTAGCATCGTAACAGAACGCACTATTAGAGAGTTACCGGCTCAAAGAGTCTTTCCTATAAAGCCCCCAAATTAGTGCCATAATGCCATATGTTTTATTCTCGCCAGAAGCGAGGAAACGGAAGAAAAGAAAACAAACCCATTATTAAAAATTGTTCCATATTTCTTGACTTTTTTCATATCCAGCACGCTTTGTTTTTATATTTTCAAAAAGCATATCCCAATGGTTCTCTCTGAGCATTTCTGAGTTCGTGAACGAACAATTAAGTGAACTTTCTCCCTCCCCACCCCCACTGCTTCCCTGGCAGGACGACAGCATACGGCCCCAGGCGTCCTCGCGTCTCTCTGATAGAAATCGTATCTTATAGAGTATTCAACAACACTCTGAGTGAACATCAGTCTTTGCCCTACGACCCTTCTTATGAAGTTTAACCTACTGCGCGCGGAGTTGTTTACTTTGAGAAAGATTCATGAGCCTATTTGTCAACATATCTTCCCCACGACTCTGAGTAGGCTGTTTATGCCTACTTGATAAAGTTCCTGGCAGAGATAACTGCAAGCTGATCTATTCGAATGGATCTCGGTACTGTTTTGGTCCACACACATTGAAACACGCACCCTTTTGACAGGCTCCATGTCGTCATCCACTTCAAAAACGGCTGTCCTATCATCTTCACAGATTTTAGCAAACACTTCGTCCTCCTCGTCAACTCCGTCATCATCTGCAAAAGCAAACTTCAAAGAACTCTGAATTCAAGGCATCACCACATCACTTATTTCAAACACATTATGCCAAAACCAATTTCTATTGTTTTCCTAATGCTGTTTCAGACTGCATTTCATGATGTGAAAGCAACCACAAGGATGCTTGGTCATAGGCAAAACACTTTCCCCAGCAGGAGCCAAACCCACACCTTTCGATTGCCGGGAAAAGGTACGCTCGTACAACTGTAAGCTGGGTTAAAGACGGAGTATACAAGAAGGTAGTCCACTAGAGTTAAGGTAGAGGTGGTAAGTGGTGCAGAGATGAAGAAAAACCATGAAAACGGCCCAGAACCCGAGTGGGACCCCTTCTTGCCCGTTGATTTCCGCATTGATGCGACTCTCATCGGTGCTGCCCTCTTCAACGCTAACGCTCTCTCTGCTAAACGGCTAGAATACCGACGAGATGGGCGGGCATTGGCGCGAGCAGAGCGGAAATGACCTTGTTGGGCGGCTATGAGCATATCCCTTTGCGAAGCGCACACCGTTCCGCACCCTTAGAGAGCCAGCCTGCCTTCCGACTAGGTGTATTTCCTCTTCATCAACATCCGTCCTTTGCGTGGAATCCCCCCTTGGATGATATAGTGATTCAGTTGGTAGGACAGCTGCCTGGAAAGAAGAAGCGACTTCGATTTCAGCCTGGAGCGAGGCTTTTGCTCATAAATAGCATCCGTAAGGTGAAAATGAAATAAACAGAATCCTTCTCCGAAGCGAACCAGGTATTTCTTTCAGGGTTCACACGAAGACATTCTACAATGACAGCAGAGACCAAATTTCAAACAAAAAATGAAGGGTGAACTACTGAGAGACCTACCACTGCTTTCCGCTTCGTACATTTCTGACGACTGCTCGCCTACACTTGACTCGTTCGACAACTCCGAACAACGCTTCACAGGCGACTTGGAAGACGACCTAAGGGAGATTTGAATAGATGGGATAATTTTAAGTCAAACTGCACATGAGCACACGCATTCACTTGGTTCCTTTGAACACCTAAGCTGTGCCAGTATCACGAAAAACAGTTTTTTACAAGTGATGTAACAAATACGAAGATAAAGTGGTGTAAAGTCACGCAACTACCCCACTAGTGACCCAAGGATCGGATTTCGCCTCAATCAAAAATGCAAAACTCTGTCACCATGAGAAATCGACCTATGAACTAATCTTTCTCCCTTTTTTGGCGTTGAGAGGGCAGCTCAGGAAAAAATAAAGCAACACTTTTATGTTACATGCACGTGTCTTCACCTAATGTTACAAAACAGGTGGGCATGACTTGAAAGACCCTCCTGATTAGTACGGAAATTCTGTCAAGAGGGCCAATTCTTTGGCTGAAGGTCGATCACTCAAGGCGATCACAGTCACCTTTTTGCAAGGTTCTCCGAGAACTTCATCGCAATGTGGACACAAAAGTATGATCGTACAAGCAATAAATACAGATTCTACAATCTAAAACTAACTCCAGTCTGAAAGCAATAAGAAGACTGCAACACTGACTGCAGCGGTTTTCCACTCTTCGACTCCTGAACAGCCTCAAGTGAGAGCAGGTACTTGACAGTCTTCATTCAATCGCAGCCTCTCACTCAACTTTGAACTCTCAACCAGATCCACCACATGTGTGTATATGAGAAATGAGCTGCACAAGAAACTGTCAAGCGCATTCAATATGGGTTCATACACACAAAATTAAGAGACCGGAACGGCCATACAATATGCGTAAGATAGGTTATGGACATT